TTACTCACACGTTTCAAACAGTTATTAACCACCGGAACAGACTACAAAGAGACACGGTTCATCATCTCTGACGCTTTCTAAAGAAAGACAGGATGCTTTTCTCGAAAAGATGCATACTTAAACATGTCCTTAAGCTCAGTTAGTGAGCAAGAGCTGTAAGGGCTCATGATGCTCACAGGTGGGCCAGGCTGTGCTCTGCAATGCAGACTTTGCCTCTGGTTTATTTTGTTGCAGTGGCCTTCGAGGCCCAAGAGCGGATCAGGACGGCGGCGGAGCTCTAGTCAAATCGGTCGCTTGGCTTTCAGCCTCTTCTCCTGCAGAATGTTTCGTGCAGACCAGTGACGGGAAGGCATGGAAGACAGAACGTATCAGTAAATAATCCCTGGTGGTGGTGGTGGTTTACTGTCCTTTTCTAGCCCAGAGAGAGTAGGCTGAAGGAGTGAAAGTGGAAGGGAGGTTGCCTGATATCTTCAGGAGCCGAGTGGTTTTGGAGAGGAAAAGCAGGAAGTCACTGCATAGGTTTCCTTGTACCTGGTTTTATTGCCTGCTTTGCTCTGTGGTAGTTTAGTAGACTATTTTGAATTGATGTCGGGAGAAGGAATGTGTCTGACTGGCTTTGCAGAAGTATGGTGGCCTATGCCAAATCCTTCTCTTTTTCCACCCCTTCAAAACAAACACAAGCTCGTGGTAACTCTCGAAGCACCAAACGCTTGCAAAAGATGCAGCGTGCTGTGGCTTGCCCGGCCCTTGACGCCTGCAATGAAACAGTGCACTGCAAAAACACATTCTCCTCGGTTACCTGCAGGACTTTGCACTTGCAGACCTTTATGCAAGGAGATTTTCCCCATGTGTTTCTGTGTAGTTTAACAAAGCTTTTTCCATTGTCCCGAAGGAAAGCTAAACTACGAAGTTAGTTTTGAATGAGTTTGTGTGGGTGGCTGTTACTCCATGTTTCAGAATGTTTGGGAACTCTCTACTCAACGCTCCTATGCATCGTAATTCACGCGATCATGTTAAAAGCTTATGTGTTTAGTATATGAATGTTATGGGGTGTTTTTGTCATTTTTGTAGCATACATTTTTTTTAAATTTTGTGGCTGTAAAATTAAATGTAGTCACACTGTCACGATGCTCTTGCATCAGAGATGAGTCTTGATTCATTTAATTGGGTGGTTACTGTGCTTTGGAGATGTAATACATTTCCTTGAGGTGCATCTACTTCTACAGCTGTGTCTTCTGAATCCAGCATTCATAAAACAAACTTCATGATCTTCTGTGCCAATGTCAGTTAATGAAACAAAACGCAGTCTCGTACTGCCTGATTTCAGAATTTTGTAAGAGCAAAACTGATCCGCTGCCAACTTGCAGGTTGGTACCTGACCTAGTCTGTGTGATTGGATATAGTCTTGTAACATGTTTGGGAATATTTTATTTCTGAGGTGCCCTTATTTCTTAAAGTGCTTGGTATGCTATACAACATACATAGTAACAGCAAATATTTCATGAAGAGCCCCACTGAAATTTGAATTTAAAAAAAAAAAATTAAGAAAAAGGCTATAGATAAGAGGAGAGTAAGAGGGACTTGTTTTGGGGGAAAGTGAATTGATGTGGACTTTGAGAAGGGTGAGTGGAATTACTTTTTCCTCAAAGCTCTTATCTCAGCAAATAAAAAGTTTAGTATCTGTCAAATGCCTGTGAGTTCCATATGAAGGCCATACTGCAGCTCCTAAAAGGCAGAAAGAATTAAAATGTAGTTTCTGGTGGCGATTAGGTATCAGCTGTAATATAGTGTGTAGGTGTACAGACAGCGCTTTGAAAAAGCCTTAGGACTATCCCTTCCACGCGCTCTGTGACAGCGGCTCCGTAAAAGATACCGGCTGAGTGAATGCTGAGGCTCACTCGAGAAAGAAAACAGGATACTAGTCTTACCGCACTGAGCCTTCCTGCTCTGCATAAGCCCGTAGAGCATAAAATGAAACTCTCACCTTCACTTTTCTTTCAGGATCCTTTGGTGCCTTACGCTGGAATAGCCAGATGCAGTCTGCATACTGGTGTGCTGTGGGTCCCAGTTCTCTGCCCGTCTTCTGTGCGGACGCACAGGAGGTTTCTAGGAGGTCACAAGTCCCAGTTTCTTAGTAGCTAAATTGAAATAATCTAGCTGACAGCTCAGGACCACCACTGTGGGCTTTTCTACCACGTACAAGGTGAAGGGAGCTGCAGTGCTCTGTATTACTCTCAATACGTTAAGCTTTTGGGCTTGCATCAGTTTCGTTAGGGAGCCCTCAAAGGAGTAGATGAGGTTAAATGCCTGTATGTCAGTGGTGCTTGAAAAGTACTCTTTTTGAAGAATGTTTAAGAGTAGGAATTTGCTGTTCTTTTTGTTCCAGATTGCTGCCCTAGCACGCTTGCTCTTTCGGCGGTCGTGCCTGTGGTTATGCCTCCCCGGTGTGCAAGTCACGGCCCTGGCGTTCTCTGTCTGAAATGGTCGCTCTAGTTCTATTTTGAAAAAAGGAGCTTTTCCCAGTTTTTGTTTTTAGACTATATCTGTAAATAAGTTTTAGAATTATTGTCGTAGTTTTCACCACCTTTTACCTGCTCAAGTGCAACTTGCAAAATCACACCTCTTAAAATACGGGCGTCTCTGATAGCTGACATGTGGTTGATTCATATGTGTGAAGGTGTTAGGCATTCTGACCTAAATTGAAACAATCATTTTGTGACAACCATTGAATGTACGCACAGCACGCACAAGAATGTTTTACTGGAAACGTTCGTTCCATTTGTTTTTTCTCTGAAGTGCAATGGAAAGTCAGTTGAGTTTGAAAAGACAACAAAAAACGAACCTGTCAGCAAGTAAAATTACGTTCACGCAAGGTATTTCTTCAGTGCGGTTCATGAAAAAAAGCTTTTCCTTCACCACTGCTTCATCACAGGGAAACTCCTTCTGCACAGGCTCTTTAGATGTGTAGTCAGGTAACACGATTTGCTTTTCAAGCTAGCGATTCATGTCATTTTTTCAAAGAACGGATACTCTTTCTACAGTCAGTGGTTTATGCTGGTCTATCTGTGAAATATTATTAGCAGTATGTTTGTAATTTAGTACTGCTAAAGTAAAATTGTCAAGATGCAACTTAGATAGACACTCTTCTTCTGTCTGTACTTGCAGACCCTGAGAAAGAGACAATCCTCCAAAGAGCTGGCTGTCAGAATAACCCACACCTGGTTTGGGTTCTTGGCAAACAGCTCAGGGAAACCGCGTTAATGCATTTCTTGGGTATACTTGTAAGTGGGTGGTATTCTGTCCGTTGATTCTGGTTAGTTCAAAGAACCAGTTTAAATTTAAAATATTATCTAGATAAATAATCTCACTCAGACAAGGGATGTGTTTATCAGAGTATGAATGGAGAGGAAATCTTAAAATTTTTGTTTAAAAAGGATCGGACTTTGATTAGAGAATAGTTCTGCAACACATTTTTCACGTTGAGGGTCTCCATAATTCTTCCCTCTGTTTAATATCTTTGGGGACATCGTTTATACGTATAGCATACTTTGTGTGTTCTCATACTCCGTACGTGTCTTTGATAATACCCATTTATAGATATTGGCAATAGTCAATTATTTCAAATGAGATGAAGTCCTGGGAATGACTTGACTTTGCTCTGTGGTAGCTTAATAGACTATTTTGAATTGATGTCAGGAGAAGGCATCAGTCTGGCTGGTTTTGCAGAAGTGTGATGGCCTATGCTGTATCCTTCTTTTCCATCCCCTCTGCCAATCACTAAAAGTAATAATAAAGAACTCTTCAGAGTTTACTTAAGATGCTCTGGGCAGGTAGATGGTGTAGCGAAGGTGGGACGGATATCTCACGTGAATGTTGACCAGCTTCTTTAAATAGTAGCGCTCCTACCCTGTCAGAAATGAAAGAAGCAACTTTATTAGTATTTCAAAGTCGTTCAGTGATGCTCTGACTGCAACTGCTTGGGGTGATCAAAGGCAGGCGTACCAGAGATGGCCCTGTGTACTCTGCTTCTCAGAAAAGCAGGCAGGATATATTGCTATTCCCGTTTTTAATTTGTTTTTTCAATAAATCAGGCTTCATTCCTATTCATCATGTAAAGCTGTTGGATTGTGAGCCACTGCAGAATGTTAACTAATTTCATAATACTCTGCATAAGGTGACCCACTTACAAGTTCATCCTTCAGTCGTGTTTCAGCTTTGGTCCTGATTTATATAACAGCATATTGGTTTCATCAAGAATTGTCTGATCACTCACTGTGGTGGCTCCTTTTTGACCTGTACGTGATTTGTATTCTCCTCGATTTTTAGGAAGAACTTTCTGTCTCTGCGCGCATATGGGCCGAAGAACATTAATAAGCCTTTTCAAAGCTAGTCAAGGCTTTGAGCGTTTCTGTCGCTTTTAAAGACATAGTAGAGTAGAAATTTAAATGAGGTTTAGAAAGAAGCCTGCTGCAGACAGAAGTGGAAACCTAGCACTAAATAGCCCTCATAAAGTTGTTGCCATTTGTACATTTTTGAGACTGAGATTAACATTGACTATTACCTGTTACGAGTCATAGCCCCTTGGATTCAATGGGAGGAAAGAGAGGACAGTTTTCCTCTGTGTTTTGTTCATACCGTTTTGTTTATGAACTGAAAATCAAATTATAAATAATTCCATTGTCCTTATTACCTTAATTCATTGTACCTTGATTCCATTGTTGAGTGGGAAGTGTGACATATAGTCAGGTGAGGGTAAGCATGATTTGTTGCATTCACTTCTTTAAAAGAGTATTTGGAAGTTATTAATGAGGAGGATAATGGACTTGAGACGCTCTGGCTTTCTTAACGGTAAGATTAGAATCTCTGTTTCTCTAGGTTTGTTTACTGCAAGCTAATTAACTCTCCAGTCCTTCAGGATATCATGCAGTGCAGAAAGGTGGAATAATCCATGTTGAAATCTCTGTATACAGATAAGTATTTTGTTCTGTTCTCTCTTGCAGCATTCGTTTTTCTGCAGACTAACAGAAGATAAGAAATCTGAAAAGTTCTTTAAGGTTTTCTATGATCGCATGAAAGTGGCACAACAAGAAATCAAGGCTACCGTCACAGTCAACACAAGTGACTTAGGAAATAAAAAGAAAGATGAAGACTCAGACAGAGAAGTACCAAACAGAAAAAGAGGTAATCTCCAGTTATTCTCTTGTTAAAGTGACAAGGGAGTAAAATGCTGTTTTGAACTTATTGCAATTGATGCAATAATGCTCTGATCTCTGATCCCACAGAGCAAAGTTCAGAGATCAATGGTGCCCTGGCTTGGGATTTCAAGAGCCTCATCCCCTCTTCATCCGTTTGTGAGATTGTGCTATTGAAATGATGAAAAGTATTTGAGATGAGACTCTGCCACCTTGTCTAACCTGACAAGCTGCCCAAATCCGATTCATAGTAATGACCCTGGACTGTGGGTTGTGGTCAGTGCCTTCTCTAGCAATAGCTGGAGAAATCGTATTTTTCTTCTATAGCAGGTCCTTTTATTAAAACTCTTAGTAGTGTTAGATGTGTGTTCCCTAACCAATTAATATAAGAATTTATAACTCTAATGTAGTTTGCGTAAAAGGTGTGAAGACAGTGGCATGAGATCGTTCTAAACTTGAGGCCCTCACATCACACTAAACATACTTACCGGAAAGAGCTGGTGATGATTAGCTGTTATTATTATGGCCTACGTGTGAAACTTTAATGGGAAACGTGTGATTTTTTTGGTCCTCTTTATTGAGTTTGCCAAAGGAAGAGCTGTTCTTATGTATTTTAGTGAGAGAGCCTATGACCCAAATCACAGAGGAAGTCCGGGATCAGTTACTAGAGGCTTCGGCAGCTACAAGGAAGGCTTACAACACTTACCGGAGGGAAGCTGATCCTGATGACCATTATTCAGCTGCAGAAGGAGCACAGTCTGCGACAGACAAGAGCAAGGATGACTTGGAGATGAGTGCTGTGATCTCAATAATGCAACCCATCCTCCGTTTCTTACAGCTACTCTGTGAAAACCACAATCGGGATTTGCAGGTATGATCTGGCTACTAAGCAGGTGTGTAAGCGTAGCCTTGTCCAATCACTACTATCACGTCTGTCTTGCTAATCCCATGCTTTTTTTTAATAAATACATAAATGAATGTTGAAGGTATTCCGGTAAACTATATTTATATATTGCTGGACAAATACAGAAATACAGGCCAGGCCAGAAATATAGGCCAGGCCAGTTGTCCAGCATTCACTTTTTTTTTTTTTAATATTAATGATGGAGGAATCAACGCTTGATTAGTGTTTTGGGTTTTTTTTTTTAATATGCATACTTAAAACAAGCAGGTAGTCTGGTGCACAGTTATTGATCTGTTGTTGAGAGAGAAAGAAAATACACATGCAGCAAAGTAACCAGAACGTTGAGATTTTGGTTCAGGCAACCCTAAGCACGTGCTTACTTTTCAGTGAGCAAGTCACATCATTGACTTTGGATCTGTTCATGTGCTCAGAGCTGAGCATGTACAGACAGGGTAAGGAAAGCCAAAGCCCACCTGGAGTTGAATCTGGTGAGGGACATGAAGGGCAGCACAAAGGACTTGTAGAGATACATCAGCAGCAAAAGGGAAGTTAGGGAAAACATGGGCCTACTGCTGAATGGGGCGAGGGACCTGGTGACAAAGGACATGGAGAAAGCCAAGGTATTCAGTGCCTGCTTCGGTGTTGGTCTTTACTGGCAAGACTGACCTTCAGGAGTCTCAGGTTGCTGAGACCAGAGGGGAAATCTGAAGCAAGGAAGACCTACCCTCAAGAGAAGACGACCAGGTTAGGGAGCAGTTAATCAAGCTGCATATACACAAGTCCATGGGACCTGATGGGATGCATCCACAGTGCTGAGGGAGTGGCCAATGTCATTGCAAGGCCACCCTTGATTATCTTTCAAAGGTTGAGACAATTGGAGGTTCCTGAGGAGACTGGAAGAGAACAAGTGTCACCCCTATCTCAAGAAGGAGAGTATGGGGAACTACAGGCCTCAATCTGTGAGAAGGTGGTGGAGCAGCTAATCTTGGAAACCATTCTGAAATATATGGAAGGTGATTGGGAGTAGTCAGCGTGGATTTATCTCCAGACAAGCTGATGAGGTATGGGCTAGATAAGAGGACAGTGAGGTGGATTGAAAATTGGCCAAACTGCTGTGCTCAGAGAGTTGTGATCGGGGCATGAAGTCCAGCTGGAGGCCAGTCACTCATGGTGTTCCCCAGGGGTCAGTTCTGGGGTCAATACTTTTTAACCTCTTCATTAATGACCTGGATGACGAGGTAGAGTGCACCACCAGCAAGTTTGCAGATGGTGCGAAACTAGGAGGAGTGGTTGATTCAGCAGATGGTTGTGCCACTCTTCAGAGGGAGCTCGACGGGCTGGAGAAGCGCACTGACAAGGATTTCACAGAGTTCAACAATGGCCAGTGCAAAGTTCTGGCCCTGGGGAGGAGCAACCCCCTGTACCAGCACAGGCTGAGGGCTGACGGGCTGGAAAGCAGCTTGGCAACCAAAGAACGGGGAGCCCTGGTGGACAAAAAGTTGACTGTGTGCCTTTGCAGCAAAGTGGCCAGTGGCCTCCTGGGCTGGATTAGGCAGAGCGCTGCCAGGAAGTGAAGGGGCTGATCTCTTCCCTCCGTTCAGCACTCTGCTCAGGACTGGAGCGTCCCCAGTACAAAAGCACCATGGGCCTGCTGGAGCACGTCTCACAAAGGGTCACAAGGATGACTAAGGGACAGAAGCCTTCCAATTAAAAATAGGAAAAAGGTGTTTGTTTTTGTTTTGTTCCTTAAAACTGCAAGGGCGATCAAACACTGGAACAGGGTGCCTGGAGAGGTTGTGGCACCTCCAACCTTGGAGACTTTCAGAACCTGACTGAACGTGATCCTGAGCACCTGATCTAGTTGACCCTGCTTTGAGCAGAGGGGTTGGACAAGACAGTCTCTGGAGGTCCCCTGCCACAACTGTTCTGTGTTATTCTGTGATATGCTTTTATAATTTTGAAGAGTGAGTCCAAAACTTGTGTATTAGTAATCTTATCTAGTGCATGCCTCCACAGGAGATAAGATTTGTACTTACAAATGGATTGTAATTAACATGATTTTTGTTCAGCGTAACCATTGCTGCTGGATTAGAATTGAATGCAAGTGAGGAACTGGTGAGACGCAGCAGACTGTACTAAATGCCTCCATAAAGGAGGAATAATTGCCTTGATTACATATTGTTGTACTGTATGGCAGAGTTGTAGGACCCTGCCTGAGTGCTTTTCAGCCCTACCAGATCAGTTCCGCTGAACTTGAATGCCCTGCTGCTGGCAATATTTGAAATCAAATCTGTATATTAATGTTCCTGTGCTATGAACGTGTAATTCTTTTAGCGTTCTATAGGTGTGGAGGTTACATACATCAGATTTTTTCCTAATTTTTTCAAAAACTATTTGCTCTTTCTTTTGTCAAACAATTTTCATGCCGTTAGCAATGTTGGAGACAAGTAGGACAGCAGTTTTATGTGGCAGGAGTCCAAACCGCACGCACAGGATCCTTTGCTGCTGCTGTCTTTGCCTAGGCACTGAAAGCTATAGGAACAAAACTGACTGCAGGCCGATGCAGAAGCTGGGCCTGAGCTGTTCACCGTCCTGAACAATCGCATACCACAAGCAGCAGAAAGTTGCATTCTGCTTTGGAAGAAAAAGGTTAACATAGAGGTGGGAGGAACAGCATTTCAGATATGATCCTATTACTGCCCGCCTTGACACTTGCCTTTCTGCTTTTGACCTGGCAGGGAGGCAGGTATATCTGAAGCTTCAAAATCTTTGTGTCTGCAGGTAGTAGGTTTAATTTTACTCCTTAGCAGCATTGCCAATGGAATCACTTCTTAAAGGTATATAAAAGACACATTTCTTATTCTGGTAGCTGTATGTCTTCCAGAATGACATGAACTAGGTTTGAATTGTAAGTAAATGGGCATCACCTAATTAGTGTAGTTATAGCTTTATGTCCAACAGGTTTTCACCAAGCATTTTACAAGCTTTTAGCAATTGTGATGCACCTCATGTTGTACAAACACAGGAAAGCACAAATCATCACCGTGAGAGTCAAAGTCAAATATTTCCTAAAGGAGGAGAAAGTCTTCATGAAATGACTTACGGAGTTGCAATACTGTACCTTTCCCATCACTTGGTTGTTCCTTTGCCAAACAAAACTGCAGTTTGCTCCCCGTTTCACATGATGAGTATTCTGTCTACTTCAAATTTATGCCAGTTAACTGGAGGAGGAATTGACTAGAGTCATCTACAGTATCCCCATGTTTATGAAAGGACTGGTACTAGGGGGTGGATGCTTAAGGATGCTTTGGGTACCCACTTAAGGCTGAAGGCATTGAATGTTGCTATGGAGTGCTTCTGTTATCCCTGTTATTTCTCAGCACACAGATAGCTGTGATACTCTTAAACTTGCATTAGGTCTGACTCTTTTTTTTTTTTTAATGAAGGACCCTGTCTCCTGGTTTTTTTTTTTTTTTTTTTTTTTTTTTTTTTTGCACGAGAGCCAAGCCTTGAAAGGGAAGCTATAAGAGCTCTGAATTGCTGTGATCTGAGCCAGCTTGTAATCTAAGTTGATTCGGCCTAACTGCAGTCACATCGGTTTCCTTACTAGACCTGGTCTGTACTACCCCTCCTCTTAATTAGGATGTTCCTGTATCCTACAGAATTAGTCACAGGAACTGAAGCTAGTGACAAATTGAACAAAGTATCCAGGGAGCACTTGGCTATAAACAAGAGAGGTGGACTTAACGTGCAGTGAGGAAGAAAGGAAAGGGGTAGTTCACAGCAGAGAAAAGTTCCTTCTGCAGTCTTTGCCCATATATGTG